ATATAGTTATCAGTATCTAGTATACCATGCAAATACATAATGACAATGTCCATGAGACGCATATCAAGTCCTTTTGAGACTAATAAACTAATCAAGTATCAAAATGTGATAACATCCATCACTGGTTAATACGTCTCATCAAAGTCAATTCCAAGTCTCTGTAGGAAACCTTGAGCCACTAGTCTGGCCTTATACTTAGTAATCTCATTTTTCTCATTTCGTTTCCTTGTGAATACCCACTTGTATCCTACATGTTTCACATTTTCAGGCATTTGGACTACAGGTCCAAATACATTACGTTTTGCTAGAGAGATTAATTCTCTTGAATTACCTCTTCCCATTTTGGCCAATCATGTCTTTATCGACATTCATCAACAAAACGTGGCTCAAACTCATCATTCATAATTTCAGTAACTACTGCGTTCGAGAATATGTTATCGACAATAGTTGTCTCACGATTCCACATTTCTCTAGAGTAAGTATAGTTTATAGAAATTTCTTCATTTCTATGTTCTTGTATTCCTTTAGGGATTTCTTCCTTTTCAGGGGCTTAGTCATTTCAAGGACTTTTAACTCTTCTGGAGTTAGTTTAGAAAATGTGGAATTGTCAATTATTCCAGTATTGTCAATATTGGCACTTATTTGATTCTGTGCCTTTATTTTCCTAGGAACAGTATCCTTGGCTCGAACAAGCCTACCACGCTTTAGCATGTAACAGATGAACTGATTGTTACCCGTATGGATTGTTCATTGGTAACATCAATCCTTGCTGGTGTATTAATAGTAGGAATGTATGATCTTGTTATCTTTGCCGTATCTGTAAATGCATTAGGTATTCGGTTGGCAATATTTTGCAAATGTGTTATTCCTCACACTTCAATTTCGGATTGAGATGTGCAAGGATCTAAATGAAACATATAATTCACTTTCCAGGAAAGTTCAGGCCTTACTTCAGAAGGCTTTACCTTTTTCCCCTAAAGATGGGAATGTTGTCTCATCAAAATGGCAATCCGCAAAATGTATTGTAAACAAATCACCTGTCAGGGGCTCAAGATATCTGATGATAGATGGTGAGTCATATTAAACATATATTCCCAAACGATGTTAAGGTCTCATTTTGGTGTGTTTAGGGGGTGCAATTGGAACTTGCACAACACAACCAAAAGTTCTTAAATGGGATATATTAGGTTGATGCCCAAATACAAGCTGTATTAGAGAGTATTGATGATATGCAGTGGGTCTTAGGCGAATTAATGCTGCAGCATGTAAAACAGCATAAGGCTAAGTATAAGTTGGTAATTGCATACGTAATAGCAAAGTTCTTGCAATTAATTAGATACGTTTTATAAATGACTCCGCCATATCATTCTAGGTATGTACATGTGGTATTGGGTGCTCAACATCAATTCACATTGATGTACAATAATCATCAAATGTCTTTGAGGTAAACTCACCAGTATTGTCCAAACGGATTGCTTTAATTGGGTAATCTGGAAAGTATTCCCGTAATCTGATAATTTGGGCCAGCAATCTAGCAAAGGCAACATTATGGGTAGCTAGTAGACAAATATGTGACCATCATGCCGATGCATCAATCAGTACCATAAAGTAGCGGAAAGGTCCACTTGGTGGATGAATAGGTCCACATATGTCCCCATGAATTCTTTGTAAAAATGATGGGGATTCTACACCAACTTTAGTGATGGATGGCTTAAGTGCTAATTTGCCTTGTGAGCAAGCAATACAAACACTCTCATTAGGTGATATAATCTTTAGATTCTTTAATGGGTGCCCATGTGAGTTTTCTATGATCCTACGCATCATAGTAGATCCTGGGTGACCAAGACGATCATGCCAAATTCTAAAAAGTTCAGGATCAGTGAACTTCTGGTTCATAACTACATAGACTTCAACATTCTTTAGGAATGTGAAATATAACCCTGATGAGAAAGCAGGGAGTTTCTCTAGTACATGCTTCTGGCATGAAATATTAGTAGTGATGCATAGAAACTCTCCATCCTTTTCACTTAAAGTTTCAATGTGGTATCCATTGAGTCGTATATCTTTGAAACTAAACAAATTTCTTCTAGATTTGCTAGAGTATAAAGCATCATGGATACTTAATTTAATTCCGCTTGGTAACATAAGTGTTGCTCTTCCGAAGCCCTCAATTATGTTTGCAGATCCTGATATGGTATTTATTTTAGTCTCAACAAAGGTCAAACCTGAGAAATATTTTCTATCCCGAATGATGATGTGCGTTGTTGCACTGTCTACTATACAAATGTCTCCACCATTACTAGATATAGATGTCTTAGTTTTGAAGTCCATCCTTAAAAAAAAATGTTACATTAGTAATGATGTTTACAGAACTTCATCTTCATGATGTAGAACTTCAAGTCCAATTGTTTCTCTGTTTTACAAACTTCATGTTTGTAATTAGTATTTATAACTTCAAGTTCTAAAACGATATTTATTTATGGAACTTGAAGTTCATTTATCAAATATAATATGGAAGCATAATTGCTAACATTGATTATCGAAAATATAATAAAAACATATCTAACCATAAAGATTGTATGTAACAAGAATGAACAGATCCGACCATGAAGGCGGTATTCAACAATAGTAAATAGGTCTGACCATGAATGCAGTATATAACAATAATAAATAGTCCAGCCATGAAGGCAATATTTAACAATAATATATAGATCCAGCCATGAAGGCGGTATTTAACAATAATAAATAGATCCAGCCATAAAGGCGGAATTTGATAATTATAAGTAGATCCAACCATAGAATTTAGCAATAATAAATAAATCCAACCATAAAGGCGGAATTTAATAGTAATAAGTAAATATGACCATGAAGGTGGAATATAACAGTAATAAATAAATTTGACCATGGAGGTGGAATTTAACAGTAATAAGTAAATCCAACCATGAAGGCGAAATTTAACAGTAATAAATAAATCTAACCATAGAGGCGGAATTTAACAATAATAAGTAAATCCCACCATGGAGGCGGAATTTAATAGTAATAAATAAATCCAATCATAAACGCGGAAACAGGGATTAAATAACATTTGTAGGGTTAAAAATATTTACTTTCAGTAGGAGTGCACCGTTACACTTGATAAGCTCTTCATGCTGATAACATGTTATAATTTTAGTGATATAAGTGTAATAGACTAAAAGGATGTATAAACATGAGGAAAATAAAGGTAAAAAGGGGACTGTATATTTCTTTGCTTTTCTCAATCACTATATAGCATAAATGTATTTATAGTCAATCCCCCCCTCCTCCACTCACCGCCTCAAAGCTAAGGCGGTGGATGGACATTTTACAACAAATTTGATTTTTTTTTTTCTTCTGTCTCATAGGAAATAGAAAATTAGGGACTCAAATCAGAGGGGATAGGGGTGAGTCGAATCTTGTCTATGATGATGATGTTGTCAATGTTGCATATCACAAGATAGCTGGGTAATTAATGGTGGTGTTTCTATTCACGCTACATCTCGAAAGGATTTCTTTACTTCATATGCAACATGTGACTAGTCTTAGTTATGCTCTAAGATTTGGTTGTGCAAACCATGATTGATTTCTGACAATCATATGAAAAAAGAGTGTTAACATGAAATAAAGAATGTTGATTTGATGCTGGAGACTAGGAGAGCTTTACACTTGACTAGCCCTTCCTCTAGAGTCAAAATGTTGATATAGAGATTTACACCAACAAGAGGTACGTAATTGACAGTATTAGAATCACGTAAGGTGTGTGCATGATCTCGATGTATCAGCGGTGAAACAATATGATGATAGATATGCTAGAATTAATCTTGAATGCAAAGAATAAAAAGCAACTTTTTAAAGTGGTTCGATTGCTCGTAATGTAAGGCCTATGTCCATTGTTATGTTATTGAATGTAATTCGATTTACAAAGAGTTAGCTGTTAACTTTTTGCAGCTTGTTTTTTTCCTTAGAAACAAACTACAATTGAGTTTATATCGTGCTAGTTACACGGTTGAGCTGGAGATGAACTCAAATTCGATTAAATTGGGAGTTGTGTGATCTCCGACCTTGATTAAGAGATCCATATCGCGAGATATTTGCATACTAATTGGGGATTTATCTGCTCTTCATTTTTCCAGTTACATGATTGAGTTGGAGATAAACTCAAAATTTTTTTAACTGTAAGTTGAGCAATCATCGGCCTTGATTGTGGGATCCATATCGCACGATATTTGCATACCAACTTGGGATTTACCCGCTCTGGATTTCCTGCACAACAGGTGTAATTATATATTTATTTTATAAAAATTAAAATAATATTTTATATTTGTCAAGTCGACACAAAGTTTTCGTTGGATTGAAGCTAGATGACCTGACCATTTAAAATTATATATAGGTGGTGCGTTTGGGCCTTGGGCTTAGTAGAATTCTGTGTCACACTTAATTGCTGTGCAATAGGGCCACTTTTAAACTTTGTACCTTCAACCATGTCCCAAACTGCAGTTATTTATTAAGGGAATCGTGTTATATTATTATTATTTTATTTTAAATTTAAATTTTATTTATTATATTTTAGATAATATATTTATAGGAATGATTATATCATCATCATTTTACACTAGTATACCAATTACGTGTAATACTACACATAGAAAATTGAAATCTTAAATTTGTACCACAATCTCTATGACAGTTGATTTAATAAATTAATTCACATTATATAAATAGCATTATTGATAAATCGTGTAATTATATGGTTTATAATGTGCATATCTAAAATAATGGTACAATATTTTGCATCTCTCTATGAGATGCAAAATTTGACACTACACAAACTTGGGATGATCTATAGAATTAGAATTTTAATTGGTGAGTATATAATAATTTTAATCCAAAGTAAAATACAGACAGATAACAAAGCTCTTATAATACTAATTCTGTCCACAATTAGAGAAGAGAGGTTCATACCTACCTCTATCCATCAAATTAATTTGGGAGTAAAGAATGGTAATTACACTAAACCGTCTTTCATATCATAACCATAACTTCTTCATTTCATCTCCACCATCTTCAATGTCTCCTGCTTTATCACCTTCCACTCTTTTCGAAATCTTGCTTTTATCAGACCCATGTTTAGATACCCGAAAAGTTCTTTTTAATCCAGCTATCAATCTCAGAGAAATATTCTTCTTCATTCTTGGATTCCCATTACGTGAACCCTCAAATGATGAAGAACCTAATGCTCTTCCCTCTTCTCTGCCACCACTAAACCTAATATTCAAAGAAGAAACTGAACCTCTTTCACCTCGTTCAATCTTACTGTTCTCCGTCACATGATGGAAACTCGCAGACCTACCTGACACTAATACGCATCTTTCCTTCTCCGCAGGCTCAACCAAAAGCTTATTCATCTCAGTCAGTTCACTTCTTTCCTTCTCAGTCTCAATCAACAGCTTCTTCATCCCATCAAGCTCATTTTCCAAGTTTTGGATACGCGAACTTGTGGCGTTCATTGCAGCTTTGAGTTGGGCTGCTTCGCGAAGAGCTGCATCCCGTTGGAGGATCGCACCAAGCGTAATGGGGTCTCTGGAGTACTGATGATGCCGGTGAGAATTGTGATTATAAGACGCTGAAACGATGGAGCGGCGTGTATTGAGCTGCTCAGTCAGCATGGCTCGGATAATGAACCGCAGCGGCATTCTAGGGTTTTGCACAGCATGTAAGAGGAGTTGTGATGAGAACTTGTTACAGTCTATGTAACAACATATATGGGTTTTTTGTTCCTCAGTTAACTTGCCACTGTGTTCCTGAACAAAGATAATAAAATTTGTGCATCAAATGTACTAAACTGTTAAAGATTCAAATGGGCATAATTAATATTGCCTCTATTAGGCCGAAAATTAAAATAATTAAGTATAAATTCACACAGATAAAACGAAGAGAAATATGATGATAAAAAAATAACTGAAGATTTCATCGGCTACCTTAAAATAAAGATCGACGATCTCATACAGAACGTCGTGGCCACTCAAACGTAGGCTCATGGACTCGGCTACGATTTCAAAATCCTCGGCGTGCAACGTTACAACGTCGTCAAACAAGTTAACCGTGCTATAACCCTCGTCCGTCAAACTTAACGCATCAATGCATCTGCTGACAAGAAACGCTGCCGTTTCCGCTTCTGGCAGTAAACTTAAACAGGAACGGAAAACAATCAACGCGTACTCTCGGTTAATAGTAACGACTCCACAGAAGTATGCTTCCGTTATCTCCCTTAGGTCCTCGTCGTCGTCGTTAGTCTCCGTCATTTGAAGCAATTCTGCAGCTGTTCTTAGTGCTGCCACGTTGAACGGCGTCAACACGAGGTGAGCCCCGTAACAGAAATCAGCAATGAGAGAGAAAGTCTGAGCAGTTATGTTTAACGGTGGCGAGAGGGTTAAGTCGGAGAGGTCCGTTAGTTGCCGTTTTAAATAGACGCTCCGTGATGTCAGGGGATCCTATGAAAATTAGAATTAAATAAAAAAAATGACCCAAAAATAAATATGACATTAATTGAATGTTTATGTTTTAATGGACAAATATTGAAGACATTAGACAACCCTTCCAAGTTTTTCATGTGGTATTGAAATGTACAGTATTGATTAACAAATGGATTTGAAACTTTTCAAAATAACAAATAACAATTTCTTTAAAAAATTACATATTTTTTAATTTTCAATTCAACCCAAAAACCTGAATCAGTAAATATAAATACTTTCTTGGGCATGCATGACAATGAGTTCATCTACATCTCAAATTCAGTGTGGCTTTTGGGTTCCTTAAAATGAGGGAAGAAGATAAAATAATTAACAATATGGAAATTTTAAAATTGGTGAATCGGCATACCTTGTGAAGATGGAAACTTGTGCCTTGAACTCGTATCAACACGTCTGTCTTCCGCCCCTTCGCCATTGACCTAATTCAAACTCAACATGAATATTTTTTTCCCAGAAAAAATAAATTTTAAGGCAGATTTATCAAATTCTTCATAAATCAGTTGCAAAAAGAAAATCATTTCAACAAATGACAAATTGACGAATCCTGAAATTGCAAAAGAATATCTGCCTGCTGATGTATTCAAGAATAAACAAATAAATAAATAAAAAATTACCATGCCTCAACTCTTGAACGAAGAGTTGCAGGAGAAGAGGAGAGAGTTGGAGATGGAGATGGAGAAGGAGAGGAGGTACAGCTGGAGTACTCATGTTCTTCTTCATAGATAGTCTCTACCACGCCTAGATTTCCCCAACGCTTCATAGTTTAATTTTCTTTCTCCACACTCACAATTTCTCTTCTTTGAAGATAATAAATTCACAGTTTTCTAAGCTTTTGTGAATAGGGTTTTCCAGAAGAGAATTGGAGGAGAGGAATTCCCTCTGCTGTGTATTAATGGTGCATGTGATGGCTCATAAATGCTGCTCATCAATGCTCTTGCTTAAATCGAATTTACTGTAGACCTGACCAAAATTCTCTAGGTTGGCGATATAGGAAAAATCAGATTTAAACTAATTCAATTTGGGATTTGGATTACGATTAAGTAACAAAAAGTAATTAATACATATATTATTTTCAAATTAAGTTTGCATCAAAGTGATGTAACATTGATTTATCATAAAATTTATATAATTCACATGACAACGATAAATATTATTAGGTTAAGGCATGTGGTATGATTGTTGAAAATTGTGTATGATTTGTTAATGGAGATGTGAAACCTCTAGGGTAACGACAATTCCATGTTCCTTTCATCTCCTCAGTCGTCACACAAAAAAGCAGTTGACTTTTGACCATCTCTAATTAATCTCCCGGTAATGAAAGTTCATATGTTACATTTCTAGATATTAATTCAGCCGTTCACATTAATTTAATTCATTTTAATGGACAGGTTTTGGCCTTTTTTCCAGGCCAGTGGGATTTTGTAACACAGATCTGCCGAGGTTTTATACTAAATGTTAGAGAGAACGGCATTTTCCCAACCAAGGTTTGGCGGAGCGACCCTGTCCCACCTATTAAGTTTCAAAACGACATTTTTTTACTATTCATCAGATTCTGCTAGTGTTTCCTATTAATATTTGACTAAAAGATAAAATACCCTTAAATAGTTTATTTTTTAATTAGTTTATTATAAACTAAAATTTAGTTAAGCCAAAGTTTTTACTCAAATGTAAAGATTTTTTTTTTTCCTTTCCTTATTTAATTAATTAGGAATATTAACTATTAAGATTTTCTATGTTAATTAGTGAAAATGAAAAACATTATATTAATAGATTATTGAATAATAGTGATGAGATATTTATGACATTATAAATAAATATTAAAGTCATTTAACTTTAAATAATTTTATATCATTACCCTTAACTTTTTAGTAAGGACTAACTATTCTTTCTTTTTTGACTTTTTAATATCTTACTTTTTGGCTAATTCAAAAATAACAAAAAATTTATAAAGTCAAATATTTATGGGTATTTTTGTCTTTTCAATCAAATATTAACAAAAAACATAACAGAACTTGACAAAGGGGGGGAAAGTGTCGTTTTGAAACTTGACGGGTGAGAAAGTATCATTTTGAAACTTGACGGGTGGGAAAGGGTTTGAGTAAACCACTTCTTCCCACCCAAGGTTTGCCTTATTGACACTTTTCCACCCAAAAAGTTTCAAAATCCCACTTTTTCACCAAAAGTTAATATTCCATTATTACCCAAAGCCAATTCAACCGATTCTAGTGGCAAAAAAAATATTTTCATCACCACCATTTGAAAATTCAGTCTTCTCTCTACAAAACTTCTCTCACTCTGACTCCTGATTTCTCGCTAATTATCGGCCATCGCAAAGCTAAAATTTCTTGTTCTTAGCCGATTTCCGGCTAATTCCAGTGATAAATATTCAATCAGTTACCATCATTCGATCTATTGACATCCACTCTACAAAAAACCTCTTACCATGTGTCTTGGTAACTCACTGAACATCGGCTGAGAAAGTGAACTGTATTTTGTTATTAATGGAATATAAATGTTGGGTAAGAAAGCATATTTTAAAACTTTTTGGGTGGAAAAATGCATTGAGGCAAACCTTGGGTGGGAAATAACATTTACTCTAATATTTCTGAATAATAACTAATTGCGTACAAAATTTCTGAACAACGAGTTTATGAAGGTATTAATTGTTACAATATCAAGTTTGTGGGAATAACGTTTCACCCCTAGTTTACTGTAACTTTTCTCCATTTTTTTAACGAGTAGGATTGTTTTTTGCCATGAGTTGACCTTTAAATGAAAACTTCGGGCGGTGGTGATTAAATTTAAGACACATAGCTGGGTAGGTATTGAATATAGGCTGTGCCAATGAAGGACAAAATTATCTTTAAATTTTGAAAAAAAAATGGTAGATTATCTCTAAAATATTCTCCCAATTATCCAACTCAATTAAAAATACAGGGATATTAATAAACTAATAAAATTTTTGGGGGATTAAACGAAAATAATCATCTTTCCCATTCCTAAACCAAATTAAAATTGATAGCTTGTCTCTAAAATAGCCTTTGTAGTATCCACATGGGCTTGGATGGAAAGTTTTTCCATTCGGCCGAAATAAATACAAATCCGACCCACATACTGCATCAGTGCATCTCTTAATACTCAACCCTTAAGGCCTTAACTCACATAACCTATTCATTTAGGTTGCAGTAAAGAATTTGTCTCCTTAGAGCGCCAAATTGAAGGAAGACACAATTAACTGGAAATTATAAAAATATTAGCCTCAAACAAATGACTTTTATGCTGCTTGAAATAGCTATTGGCTAAAAGATTGATTCCTCATTTTATTTTACTTCCACAAATACATGATGCCCCCCATGTAAGTTGCTGTTGAGCACGTATATCACATTGTTTATACCTTGAAAAGGGGTCAATTTTTTTATGAAGTATCATTTCTGCATATCGCTCCGACAATTAAGCTAGGTGAATCTTTTTTTTTTTTTTTTTTTGGTGATCGGGGGGTGTCTGGGTCAGTTTGCGTGTACCTCAACTAATCCTCCGAGTCCCTGAAGTTGACAGTCGGGTAAATCTCTTCAATGGCCACCCCTATTAGCAACCTAGGTAGATCGAACTCAAGACCTCTTGAATAATACATCTAAGAGTCCCAGTTGACAGCTGAACCACCCCAGTGGTGGTTGGCTAGGTGAATCTCCCTTGGACGATGTTGATTAACCCCTGTTGTGCTTTGAGCCACAATAGATTTATTACGTTCAAGGATTAGCCCAAAAAAATTGTCTTGACTGTGGAGTAGCTATTCTTGAGTTTCTTAGTTTACTAAGTGATGTGGACACAAGTTTTGGGTGGTGTTCACCAGACTTGCGTCTATAACTTATATTCATCCATAACAAAATGAAATCATAAACTGAATAATGAGATAATAGTAACTAGCGTGTTCGATTAAGAAATATGTTATGCCTAAAAAATCAATGCTGACATAAGTTTACATCAACAAGCACCAATCAGAGTTCGGGAAGGCTTTGCATAGCCTACAATCTGCCACGTCGCCACAAGATAGAGAGAATACGACTGTCACCAACTCAGAAAGCTCAAGTTTTGTCTGAAAATGAACTTGGTCCACACACATGTCCAAGCCCTATATAATTTAAGGATATTTCCTAAGTTATCAGCCAATGGGACGCAAAGAAGGACTTGCACGACACTTACCCACTTGCAGACTTGTAATCATTACCTTGAACTTAGCAACTATAAATAGAGGACTCCCCCTCACAAAATCAGGATCTCTGATTTTCATAAAAGCAAATAGCAAAGACAACCTACTAGAAAGAGACTGCTTAATATTCTCTCTGAATACCAAGCTCTTGTAATTCAGTTTGCAGTTCGCGACCCCTTTGTAACTTGGCTAACCAAGAACACTCATATAAAAGAAAACAGTGGATGTAGGAATCGCTTTAAGCATCCGAACCACTATAAAATTACCATTGCCTCATTTATTATTAAGTCTTTGCATGCTACTATGACCTAAATCCAAATCTCATATTAATCGCATGTAACTTCTAAGATCCGCTTAGCATTTTGCACGTGCGAAGTCGTTAGCGTCAAAATCACGCATCAATAGTTTGGCGCTAGCAGGAGGACTAGATCAACTCTTCATTCGGTAATTTCAACTGATTAATTAGTTCTATCTACAAAACTCATGGCTTGTGGTCTTGAAACTGAGCGTACTGGCACCAACAACGAGGAGATCCCCTGCGTTCAAGAGATTACTCCTTCTAAAGTAACTCCACCTCCCCAAAGTAATGCGGTGGGCATCCCCTCGACCTCTCAACTAGATTCAGCTATGATGGATTACCTGGAAAGGTTCAATAACACTCTCCAAACAATGAGCCAAAGGCTAGATCGATTGGATCAAGTCATGCCGCCAAACTCTGACAACGTGATACCACCCCAAAAACACCTATAGGTCATGCTAAAGCATGGAAACAAGCAAAAGCTCATACCATGCGCACTATAGTGCAAAAAGACAAGCGAAAGTGAGTGGTCGAACATGGGCATAGAGGCTCCAAAGGGCAAAAGAATACTGGTCGTGAGCTAGTAAGAATACCTGTCATCACCATGAGGCACTCCCACAAGTGTGCTCGACAGGAAAATTCCCACAATAGCCAAAATGATGGTCTTGGCCATCACCACGAGGGAAGTACCCACCATCTGCGGGTCAATTCTGACCACTATAGAGGTGAGGAAAATTCCCCAAGCCATTTAGTGCCTTCACAAGGCTCCAGCCAACATGTGTCAAGGCATGCCGAAGGCTCCGACCAAGGCAGTAAAAATTCTGACCTACGGTCTTTTCTCAATCGCAATCATAGGGAGCAAACCCACATTGTAGAATGTGATCCTCAGAGGTCTCCACTTCCTCAGATAAAAGAGTTATAGTGAGCTCTGGATCAGCTTAGAGCTTAGCAGAATGAGTAGGGGTAGGTCACTATGGTGTCTCCCTTTTCTCTAGCAGTTTTGACTGCCTAGTCCCCGTCAAGATTTAGAATGTCCGACATGAGAGCATTCGATGGGAATTCTGATCTGCAGGATTATCTCTATGAATTTAATGGCCTCATGGAACTTCACCAAGTTTCTAACTTGGTGAAATGTCGTTGCTTAGTAGTGACTCTGATTGCGCACTGTAATAGCCACTACTACTCAAAAGATTATAATGAAATACATATAAATACATTAAAGAAATTGGGCCCAAGTTTTTCTTTTATTAAACTATATAACATACTCTTTACAAACATATGCATATTTACACAAAATATATATAACGTATACAAAAAGTCATCAAAACATCAGGGACAGTGTAGCCACTCCTCCTCGCACGCCGACATCCATCCGACAGTGTCCTCACCTAGGTCCTGCAAAACATGGGAAACAACGGGGTGAGCACTAAAATAATGCTCAGTAAGAAATCCTCTACTCATACTAGCCCGGTAACTCTCTTTCTCTAATTCTTTCCTTAAACTCCTCGTTCAATTTCTCTTTGGGCACTTCTCTCTTTTTCCTCTTTCTCATAACTCTTTCATGAATCACGACCCCATCTTACCGGGGGCACGGCCGGGACTCACTCCCACTCTACGTGACCTCTATTCACTCTAGCCGATCGGACTCGGTTATGCATGGATTCGGAACCCTTGGCCATGTGAGTGTATAATCTCTCTCTCTCGGTACTCGGGTATAGCCCTCATCCGCATGCACTCTCACGGGCTACCACTTCCTATCTGATACTCATGCCGCTCTCTCAATGCGGCGTACATGCGGGAATACTCTACCCATTACTCACGGGTTCCCATCGCACAACCTACTCTATTCTCTTAACTCTTAAAGAACTTATACTCACATTCTATACTAAATCTCAAGCTACTTCTCAAGTGTATAAACAAAGGTGTAGAGCTATCTCATGCTCCCTAATGCACTAATGAAAGCCAACTACAAGATTTCCTCAAAACCGTCATTCTGCACAGGTCACACTAAAACAGCCATAACTTATGCTATACACCTCGGATTACTACGGTTCTGGTCTCGTTTCAAAGCTTAGAAACAGGGCTACAACTTCTCTGTTTTGGTCTCAGCCCAGTTCGAACCGCAAGATACTCAAACATTACTCCGAAAGTTACGGCAGTGACAGGGCAGATTTCACTTAGGCATTTCCTCAAACATCTCATGTGCATATAACACCCTACGAAATTACTACTAAACTTCATTTTTCTAGCCATCCAAATTGGGGAAAAACTCCCTCATTACTCATAATCCCTGTCAAGAAAAGCACTCCCAAAAAGGATTACACAACATCTCTCAAACTTCATCTCAAACTCCATTCTCAATACACATATCACAAACACTTCTATATAATCAATCCCAACTACTAAGACTAAGCACACATCTCATCTCAATTTTCAGTAGGTATACCATGTACATACATAATTAAAATAAGTCTCTACTCAAAGCTTAGTCATAACTCAACTTGGTTGGATTTACTTACCTTGTGCAAAGATGGCTTTTTAGCACTTTTCCTTCCCTTTGTGGACTTGTCTCTTCTCTACAACTCAAAACAACCAAAGACGCAACAACACAATAAGACTTCACTATAAATACAAGAAAACTCACATCTAAAGCATGAATTCTTACCTTAGGAAGTTTAGATGAAATCTCTACTCAAACCCCTTTAAATCCTTAGAACTCTTGGAAAATTGGGTGGAGAAATTGAGAGAATATGGGCAATTGGAAGAGGCGGTGGAATGAAATGAATAAGGGTTTCTTACACTTTACTCTTTTTAGTTCATATTATAAGCTTCATTTCCCATTTTGCCCTTGTCCTTTCTTGAAAATTCCATCTATATCCTTTGATTCTTTACAACTACACCCCCATACAAACACAATCTTACTAATTTCCTTTCATTTTACTCCCACTTTTCCTACTAATTAGGGGTAGAATGGTCATTGTGTCCCAAAAGAAGAATTCTCTAGAAAACTCAAGAATCTTGTTTTAGGCTCTTCGCCGCGACGAAGCATGTTTCGTCGCTCGGCGAAACAGGGCAGAACCTACCCGTAATGCAACTTCTCCTCCTCGCCGCGGCGAAGCTTCTTCTCGCCCCGGCGAAGTTTGGATTAACTTCACCAAAACTCAACCAATTTTCAAGGCAACAATTCAACCAACTCAACATATAAACTCAATTAAGTTGAAACATAAACTTTTAACTAATACAACAAACTTAAATACGTACTTCAAGTGGGATATTACAATTCTCCCCCCCTTAAAAGAATTGTCCCAAAATTCACACGAATAGCTCCGGGTACCTCTCCCGCATGTCTTGTTCCGTCTCCCATGTGGCTTCTCTACTGTGATTCCTCCAAAGAACCTTCACTAACGGAATATTCTTGTTCGGAGCTCTTTAATCTTCCGATCTAAAATCTGTACAGGGCGCTCCTCATACACAAGATTCTCTGAGTTCAATTCTTCTATACCAAGATGGGGAGGGATCACTTACGTACTTTCGCAGCATTGAGACATGGAAGACATCATGCACCTTGTCCATATGAGGTGGTAGTGCTAACCTGTAGGCAACCTTCCCAATTCGTTGCAATACTTCAAATGGACCAATATACCTTGTGTGCTAACTCCCTTTGTTCCCGAAGCGCATTACTCGTTTATAAGGGGAAACTTTCAAAAATACCTTATCACCACTTGGAACTCCACTTCTTTTCTCTTTAAGTCGGCATAACTCTTCTGTCTATCTTGGGCTTGCTTCATTCTACTTCGAATTAATCTTACATCCTCTATCATTTTCTGCGTCATTTCTGGCCCAAGAGCTGTACTCAACTCACTCCTTTCGCCAATCTACCCAATGTAGTGGAGACCTACATCTCTACCATACAAAGCCTCGTAAGGCGCCATCTTTATTGTAGACTGATAACTGTGTTGTAGGCAAACTCCACTAAAGGTAACTTTCATGCCATGTCATTCTATAATCCATACAGCAAGCTCTCAACATGTCCTCAAGTATCTGATTCGTTCTCTGTTTGGCCATCTGTCGAGGATGATAGGCTGTACTGAATGCCAAACGGGTACCCAAATTCCTCTGCAAACTAGTCCAGAAAGCTGAAACAAACCTCGAATCTCTGTCTGACACTATTGTCTTGGGCACACCGTGTAATCTGACTACCTCTTCACATAGATCTGAGCCAACTGATCTGAGGTGGTATTTTCCTTTACTGGAAGGAAATGGGCGGCCTTAGTTAACCTGTCCACAATCACCCAAATGGCATTATACACTCTCTGAACTCTAGGGAGACCTTGATAAAATCCATTGAAATACTTTCCCATTTCCACTCTGGAATACTAAGTGGATGAAGAACCCTGATGGCCGTTGATGTTCTGCTTTAACCTGTTGACAAGTCAAACATTTGGCTAAAACCCTGCAATGTCTTTCTTCATACCTGGCCACCAGTAACCCTTCTTACATCTTGATACATCTTGGTTGCTCGGGATGAGCAGTGTATGTGTGTGTCATGAGCCTCTGAAAGTATTCTCTTCTTCAACTCATCATTTTGAGGAATACTAACCGATTCCTGAAATAGAGAACACCATCCTGTAAGTGGAACTCCGTTACCTTGCCCTCATGCACTTGTTGAACTATTCTCTGACACCACTCATCGGTCACTTGCTTAACTTTGACTCCTCCAGTAAGTAGACTGAACCTCCAATCTAGCAATCCTTCCCGGTAGCACTTCAATCTGTTCCTTACACAACTCTTCTATCAATTCTTTCTGTCTAGTAAGCCGGGACAAGTAAGCTTTCCTGCTCAAAGCATAGCTACTACGTTGGCTTTCCCTGGTTGATACTTAATCTCACACTCATAATCCTTAACCAGCTCTAACCACCTTCTCTGTCTCATATTCAACTCCTTTTGTGTGAAAAAGTACTTTAAATCTTGTGATCGGTGTAGATTACTCTTGGCACCATAAAAATAATGCCTCCAAATCTTTAAAGCGAAGACCACTGCTGCCAACTCTAAATCATGCGTAGGGTATCTCGTCTCATACTCTTTCAATTGCCGTGAGGCATATGCTATTACCCTACCTAACTGATTAACACAGCACCAAGTCCTTGCAAAGAGGCATCCGTATAAATATCATAATCTACACCCTCCTGAGGCAACACTAACACTGGAGCTGTTGTAACCTCTTCTTTAACTCTTGAAAGCAGTCCTCACAAGCTTCTGACCATATATAGGAGTCTTCTGTTTGGTAAGAGTTGTCAATGGCTTAGCCAACTGGGCGAACCTTCAACAAATCGTCTGTAATAACCGGCA